TAAGGAAGATGGGAGCTGGACTGTTGAATTGAGTAGTCCCACCTGGATATCACATGAAGACCATGCACTATTTAGCATTTTACAGTTTACAGTAAGTCCCCTATATACAAACGAGTTCCATTCTGAGAGCATGTTCGTAAGTCCAATTTGTTCATAAGTCCTACAAAGTTAGCCTAGGTACCCAACTAACACAGTTAACTATACAATACCAGCTACATCACCACTGTTTTACTCTTGCTTCTGGATATCCTGAGTTTGAAATAAAGATGCTGTACTACTGTACTTTATACAGTCCTGTACAGTAAAATACACAAAAACACAACCACTTGTAGAGGATGCACACACGTGACAATGTATGCCTGACATGTGAACTAACTTGGTGGACATGCGTATGCTATCTGCCTGGGGAAGGGGAGCCACACCTCATCAATAAGGGTACCTGCACAATGAATATTTGTATACCTAACCCCAAATTGCACCCCACAATTTTAAAATAAAAATTAAAAGAGGAAAAATAAATAAATAAATAAATAAATAAAAAAGAAAGTTTGCAACTTGAAGGTTTGTATGTAGGGGACTTACTGTACTTAGGGTCAATGAATTAATATTGCACTGCTTTATATAGAATGTAGGAACCTTCAACTATGTAGTTCCACGATCCCCCACTTTCATCCTCTATGCTATAGTTGGCATTAAGTATCACACCTCCATTTGTTGTAAAATCCACAAAATGTCTTAATTTTTGCTTTAAACAGTCATATGTATTTTAAGGAAATTAAGAGAAAAAATAATTTGTATTCACATATTTTTGATTCTCTTCATTCCTTGCTACGGTTTCAAGTTTTCTGGTATCATTCCCTTTAGCCTGAATGACTGTCTAACATTTCTTACTGTGTGTGTCTATCCATAAATTCACTTAATTTTCTTTTATCTCAAAATGTCTTTATTTTGTTTTCATTCATGAAGAATATTGTCATTCGTTATCACGTTCTGACTTGTCAGTTTTGTTTTTCTCTAGCACTTTGAAGATGTTTTTTGCATTGTCTTCTGACCTCTGGAGTTTCTGACGGGAAGTTAGTAATCATTTAATCACTATTACTCTACACAGAATGTGTTGTTTTCAGCTACTTCAAGTTTCTCCTTATTTTTGGTTCACGGTGACTTGGCTCTGATGAACTAGATGTGATTTTTCTGTCTTTTTCTTGCTGAGTTTCTTAAACCTACACATTGCTTTGGGAAGTTTTTTGCTGTTATGCATATATTTTTTCTATTTCATTCTCTCCACAGGTTCATACATAATTTTTTCTTCTTATAATTTCATTTTGTTCCTTTCTGTTTTTTAGATTGGACGATGTCAATTGAACTATCTTCAAGTTCTGCTGTTCACACCCAATAATTTTTTTCTATCTTTTTAAAAATTTCATTTTTATTTTCGATTCAGATACAAGTGCATGCTTGTCATGTAGCATATTGTGTAGTGGTGGAGACTGGGTCTCAGGTGGCCAGTTCCCCAGATAGTGAGCATTGTACTCAATCGAGAATTCTGGACCTTAACCCTCCTCCCTACCTCTCCCTTTATTGGCGTTCCCAGTGCTTATTATTTCTTTTCTTTTTTTTTCTTTTTTGGCCATTTAGTTCCCACATATAAATGAAAACATGCAGTGTTTGGTTTTCTGTTTCTGAGTTAGTTCACTGAGGATGCTGTTCTCCAGCTCCATCCACATTGCTGCAAAGGATATGATTGCTTTCATTTTTATGGCTGAGTAATATTTCATCTGTCTAGTAATTTTTAACTTTTATTTCTGGAATTTTTCCAATTCTAGAATTTCTAGTTTGTTGCTTTTTAAAAAAAATAGTTTTCTTTGCTGAGTTTTTTTCTCATTATAATAAACACATGCTCTTCTACTCTGTTAAGCTTAGTTATAATAGCTGCTTTAAGATCCTTGTCTGCCAATCTAGTATCTGGATCATTTTTGGGTTGGTGTTCATTGGATGTTCTTTCCCTCCAGGTTAGGCCACATTTTCTTGGTTCTTTGTTGAGTAATCCTTAGTTGTACCTGGACATTGCAAAGGTCTGGGTTCTTTCATATTCTTTTTTTTTTTTTTGAGTCAGAAATCTCACTCTTGCTCAGGCTGGAGTGCAGTGGTACACTCATGGCCAACCCAGCATTGACCCTCTGGGTTCGGGTGATCCTTCCACCTTACCTCCGTCTTTCAAGTAGCTGTAACTATAGGCACAAGCTACCACGATAGCTAATTTTTTTTTTATATACTTAGAGATGAGATCTCATCAAGTTACCCAGGCAGATCTCAAACCCCTGAGCTCAGGCAATCCTTTTGCCTCGGCCTCCCAAAGTGCTGGGATTACAGACTTGAGCCATCATGCCTGGCCTCTTTCATATTCTTGTGAGGTGTGTATGTACTTTTGTTTTAGCAGACAATCACTTTGCTTGGACTTCAACTGTAAACTCTCTCTCTGGAAGTAGCTCATACTGCAGTTCATTCCTTCTTTCTTTGGTTAGGCTGTGTGCAGTCAGCTCCATACAGTGATGGCTCAAGAGGTCAACAAGAGCCTTGGGCAGCATTGTACACAGAATCTGGGGTTTCCCCCTCTGTGTCTCTTTTCCAAGATTCCTCCTTCACTTTTCAGTAGTTGTGTCTGCTCTAAATTCTGTTTTCTGGTTATTCAGAGCAGAAAGAATGTGAATCTCTACTAGAGTCTGAGGGGCTCTATGAGTCTGACCTCAAGCAACCCTCAGGCTAAATGCTCTTAAAAGAGTAACTCACTGTATGCAATTACTTTCTTCAGATTTCAGTGCCCCTCCAGAATCTTCTGCTTTGGGTCACTTTCTAGTGTTGTTGGGTTGTGTGTGTGTGTGTGTGTGTGTGTGTTCCTCCAGAGTTTAGAGTGTTTACTGTAGGAGAATCAGATCTGGTAGGGGTTTCCCAGTCACATCAGCAGCAAAAGTGCTCTGTGTGATTCTTTGGCATTCTGTATTTATCTGGTTGTTTGCTCTGTCTTTAATGTTAAAGGCTTTCTGAAAATGTCTGCTCCTTCATTGTTAGTTCCTGTTTAAGAAGTTCTCTGTGCGAGCCATTATTCTCAAAGGATGAATTTCATGCTAGAATGATCAGGCAGGGATTGGCTATTTCCTTGGTCATTTCAAAACACCCCCCCCCCCACTACATTCAATTTTTCTTGGGAACATTATTCCAGTTTCTTATTTGTGGGAAATCAATTTGGAGGCATGAAAGCAGAGGTGAGGAAGGCTTTCACAGTCCTGTGTTTAGATTTCTAAGGAACCCTTGCATTTTCAGTCCAGCAGCTTGCCCACAGCTTTAACTGTGCCTGTAACCCTGCACCCCGGTATCCTTGGGTCCATGTCTTCAGAGAGTAAATCTTTCCAACTTCTGTTCAATGATGAAGATGGCCTTATAGGGTGGGGAAGCTGTCTCAGGGGCCAATTGTGTCTTACTCAAATCTTTAGTCTTTTATTTTCAGCCTCACACTTACCCCTGCTCATGATGACTCCGATGACTCAGACTACTTTTTGGAATTTTTTTCGGAATTTTTTTTGATTGGAAAACCTCTTCTTGGCTCCCTGGGCCCCCTCCACTCTCTCTAGGCAGTCTTGCTTTGTTGTGTTTATGCCTCACTTGGGTGGGGTTTTTGGAGGAAGGTGGGTGTGTATTTTTTCCTCCGTTATTAATAGGAAGTGAATAAATTATAAAGAACCAATTTGAGGAGAAGACACAACTTTTCTAATAAAGGTTAATAAGTGTTCATTGTATTTTGTTGGTTTTTTAAAAAAATCAAAGTCTCACTCTGTCACCCAGGCTGGAGTGCAGTGGCATAATTATGGCTCACCACAGCCTTGATTTCTTGGGCTCAGGCGATCCTTCCACCTCGGCCTCCTGAGTGGCTGGGGTTACAGGTGTGTACCACCATGCCTGGTTCACTTTTTGAATTTGCATAAGGATGAGGTCTCACTATGTTGTCTAGGTTGGTCTCGAACTCCTGGGCTGAAACAATCCTCCCACCTCAGCCTCCCAAAGTGCTGGGATTATAAGCATGAGCCACTATGCCTAGCCAATGTTGGAATTTTGCTCAACTAAGAAAAACAAGATAGTTTACGCTTTAAGCAAGATAATTGAGTGGTGGGTGCTGGTGCTTATGTATGATCTAGAATCATAGAGATTCTGAGCTATAAGGAACTTGTAGGCCTATGGAACAGAGGTTTTCACACTTTTTAAAGTGGTAGTTCTCATTAAAAAAAAATAAAAATGGACTTTTACTTCAACATTTAAAACAGAAAAAAGTTATTTTCTCTCTGGCCATTTAAACATATTCTTTTGTAAACCCTCTGAGTGCCTCTTAAGAGCTTTGAGATCCCCCAAAGCACAGATTTTTTTTTTCAAACTGCTTTAGCAACAGTAATCTACATTGTCTTAGCCCAACAGTATGTATCACCATCTCTCTGGTATAAGTGCATTGAGAATATTAAGAAGCAATAATTTTTAAAAATGTTTATTGATATACAATAGATGTACATATTTTGGGGGTACATATGATAATTCAATACATTCGTATAATTTGTAAAGATCAAATCAGTGTAATTAGGATATTCATCACTTTAAATATTTGTCTTTTCTTTATAAGAAGCAAGAATATTAATTAAACTTTATTGGGTACTCACGATGTTTAGGGCATTGTGTTATGGGCTTTACACATAATATCTCAGTTAATTCTCACAACAGTGCTGTGAGGTAGGTATGACAATTATTCCTGTTTTGTAGGAATACACAGCTAGGCAGTGGACAGGCTGGGACTCAAAGCCCATTCGCTCAACCATGACATAACCCTGGGACACCTATTCCCCCAGCCCAGCACCTGGAGTCATCACTGTGAGGGCTGTACACTGAGGGCTGCCTCCCACTTGTGACAAAAATATAGTGGAATAGAGTGAAACAAAAAAGCAATGCATGTCTCTAATCCTCAGGCAACGCCGACTCCCAGATACCCCACCCTATTCTGCTTCAGACCCATGCTCGCCTCCACAGGTCAAAGGTGAGTGCCACCCGACTTCAGAACTGTTGCCCTTCCTCCTGGACTCTGTGTGGTGAGAAAGAGGCACTTCTTGCTTGTGTCTCCCCCAGGTGCATGCCACTGGACACTCAGGCCTACAGTTGGGAGGACTCCAGCTACTTTACTCCCCTCTGCCACCACCCCTGGGATGCCACCTGCACACCTGCCACAGACCTTCTCTGGAATGGGCGACTCTGGCCAAACCCACGGCGGATTTCATAACTGCTACCCAAACACCAGTCATCCCGCTACCCCTCTGGACCAATCTGTGTCCGCCCGTCCGGGCATAAGTTGTTCTTATCATCAGCAACCTATGTGCCACAACCCAGGGTAAAGAGAAAGATACTTAGTCATGAAAGACCTCGGCAGAAAGTCTCAGAGCGCGGGGACATAGAGAGGATGAACTGAGGAGTCCTGGCCAGGAGATGGCAGTGTTGAGATACACATAGGACAGAGGCTCCTTTTTTTTTTTTTTTTCCAGAGGCTCTTTTAATTAAAAATTCACTGAACCCAAGGTCTTCTTTCAATGAAAAGCTAAAATGTCAGAAACACATAGGGAGATTCTGGGTGATAGGGAAAGCACTGTTTGCTTCTGCGGTCTCAGCTAGACCATGCAAGGGAATTGAGAATGAGCTCTCAGAAAAATATCTGGAGCATCAACTAATATTCTTTTCTTCTAGCTTCCTTCTTCTTTTCCTTCCTTTCCCTTTCTGAGCTAAAGGGTAGCAAGAAGAGTATAGGCCATCAAAGTTGTGGTCAAATTCCATGTGAAAGAAATTCAGGTGTAAAATGTTTGCCTCTGTACATTTAATGTCTGTGGAATACAGACTATTAAGTCTGTATCTCCTCTACCTCAAGAGTCCTCTACCTTTGTAGATGTTATCAGTTTATTTTCTTCAGGTAGGTGAATCTCAGACTAATTGGGTTAAGGAAAATCAAGTTTCAGAGCAGTAGGGCTCAAGGCACCTTAATAATTGAAATTTGACTTGGGAAAACTGAGAGCAGAGATATGGGAAATTAAATCTGATTTAATGTAACATGAAGAGCAAAGAAGAATTCTAACCTTCCTTTTGGTGTCTTGATTTCAGAGCTTCATTGCCTCCAACCAAGAAGAGAAAGCACACAGAGGCACTGGAGGACTCAGGGAACTGCCGAGTGTGGGCCCACCACTCCAGACCAAGTGAGCAAACCTGGGCAGTGATAAAGTCAACGCCATCAAAGCCTTGGCTATAACATCAAGCAACCCTACATAGTGTTCTTTGAGCAGCCCTACACAATGTTCTCTCTCATAGAAGGACAATGATAGGTTCAAGACTTGTTTCTCCCCTCTTGACATAGATTCAATGCACAGGTTTTTCCAGAAAGAAGTGCTGTGCCCTCTGGTTTTAGAACAATGTATATGTCAGAGGACCTAGTCTCCAGGCCTGTGGAGGTTGTGCAGTGTGGCAGTATCTTCAAAAACCTGCTGGTGTGTCCGTTGCAATCCTTCTCAACTTGAATGTGCACAGAATCACATGAGGGTCTTGGTGAAATGCACATTCTGATACAATCTCTGGGGTCCAAGATCTGCATTTTTTTTTTTTGAGTTGAAGTCTTACTCTGTTGCTAAGGCTAGAGTGCAGTGGTGTGATCACAGCTCACCAAAACCTCCTGCTGGGCTCAGGTGACCCTCCCTCCTCAGCCTCCTGAGTAGCTGGACCTAAAGGCATGTGCCTCCATGCCCAGCTAATTTTTAGAATTTGTGTAGAGACGAGGTCTTGCTGTATTGCCTAGGCTAGTCTCAAACTCCCAGGTTCAAGTGAACCTCCTGCCTCTGTTTTGCAAAGTGCTAGGATTACAGGCATGAATCACCACAGGCAACCCAAGATCTGAATTTCTAACAAACTCCCAGGTGACGGTGACACACTGCTGGTTCGTGGAGGTCACTCTGAGAAGTGGGGTGCCTTAGAAAGTTTCTCCAGTGGTGTAGGAAGGCAGAAAGCTGAGCTTTCCCCACACTCACTTCAAATTGGCAAGTTCCCAGTGGGTCTTTGAAATTTGAAAATCATTCCAGAAAACTTTAATCAGAATCATCAAATGCCCAAGTGGTCAGCATACCCAGTTTTTTCTTATATAACGAATGTGTGACTTGTCATGTTTTGAGCTTACAGTCTGGATCAAGTTTCAAACAAAGTAGTGTTTTGAAGTCTGAAGACTTGAACTTCAGAATGTTCAGAGTAGATGTTATGGCACTTACTGGGAGAAAGGCTAATACTCCAAGCCGGTTCTATTGGCCACTGTCAATACTCAAATGTGGGTAGTGTGAACAGTGCCCCAAATCCAGGATACTGGATCCCATCTCTTCTATCCCCAGGTGTCAGCTTGGCAAGAAGTCCAAGCTTTCCTCCATTGGGCTTCTCTTCCCATGCGTGTCCCCAAACGCTGGAGGTTTACACTGCTCTGAGGAGATGTGTGTGCCTGAGTGTGGGAAAAAATGTAGTCTTCCCAGCTGGGGTTGCTGCCTTCGTCTTTTAAAAGCTCTATGGGGAGAGTGGCTCCTTCAAAGGACACCTGCCTTCAGCTCCAGCATGGGCTGTGGGGGGTCCTTCCTGAATGATGGCTTCACCCTCTCAGCCACCTCCCACCTGTCACCGTCTCCTGGGAGTACTGTATCAGCATCGCCCTGGGCATCCAGCCCTTGTGTCAGCCAAACCTCTGCTTCCTTTCTTTTCTCAAGGATCCACATGGCCAGTAGTTGCTTGACTTTTCCTGTTTCAATCCTAAAAACTCAAAATGCTAATTAGAGCCCCCTTTGTGGATAACGCTCTCCACCCACCTTCCTACACGAGATTATCCCATGTCTTCAGGGATCTCTGCATCTATCCTGAAGCTTCTTTATGATCCCTAAATGTAAAAGGCTGAGTAAATTCCTAGCCAGATGAGGGAACCATCTGGTCATTCTCCTGCAGATGTGCCAGTTGGCTAAGGGATACAGGGCAAGTCATTTAAGCTTTCCATGGGTTTCCTCATCAAGTCAGATCATTGCTCAAATGGTCTTGGTCATTCCAGAGTTCACCTCCATCCTGTGATGGTTCTCTGCTGCCTATCCCAGAGAGGGCATTGATTTTTCACCGTCAAGAGTAACTGAAATATTCCAACAGAATGGAAGTCCTATTTCCCTTAAGTCCTACTCACAGGTCACTGAAAGGCTGACTAAAGATAATTGATTCCAGATAACAATTCCAGCATGAAAATAAACAGGTTCCCAGGGCCAGAAAAGAAAAGAAAACCAGCAGACAAAAAAACAAAGATTTAGTTGATCCAAATGTCATATTTTCATTACTGTTCATATTTTTAACAAAAGAGTTCTAGTGGCTAACTCCTATTGATGCTGCAGAGACCAAGGGTTTTTACAGAAGTCCTGGGGAAACAACACATTGGCAGAGGAAGGAGTCGCATAGGCAGGAATAGACCTGCCAAGTTTTGATTGGAGGAGATATTCTAAATCAGTCAATAAAGCTTTCCTGGTGACCTTCTCCCAAGTAGTATCATTTGGTCAAGGGTTCTAAGCGCTCCATTTTTTTCTTCTCCCACAGGGGGTCTCACTTTGTTGCCCAGGCTGGGGTGCAGTGGTGTAAACATAGCAACCTCAAACTCCTGGGTCCAAGCAATCCTCCTGCCTCTCAAGTACCTGGGACTATAGGTGGGATACCACCATGTCTGGCTAATTTTTAAAATTTTTTTGTAGAGATGGGGTCTTGTTTTGTTGTCCAGGCTGGTCTTGAATCCCTGACCTCAAAGGTCCTCCTGCTTCAGCTTCCCAACGTGCTAGAATTACAGGTGTGAGCCACCATGCCCAACTAGATCTCCACATATAGGGCTGAAAATGTAGAATTGCTGAGTTGGTGTGGACAGATGTAAGATCTTGCTAAGTGAGGAGGCTCCTTGTGGGTAGGCTCCTGCTAGCTGGTTTCTGGCCCTACCTGGTCTGCACCCAGGTGAAAGAGGGCTCATGGCTTCCCTGATATTTTAGACCTCAAATATGAAAGGGATTTCCAGTCCCAGAGTCATGGCCTGGGCCCTGCAGTGGGAGGTTCACTGGCTGAATTCACACTAGAGAGTCAGAAAAAGTACCTGTCTCATCTCTCTAGGAATTGGGGACACTCAGAGTCTTGATTATCACGCGAGAATCATAATTTTTCCTTTGCCTATCTCCAAGATTTTTTAAAAGTAAGGTATACAAAAATACTTTGAAAGACATTCAAATGCAAGCTATTAGTTCTCCCCAAAGTTTGGACTTGGACACTTTGCTGCTGGATTAGTCTATTTTGCATTGCTATAAAGAAATACCTGAGTCAAGATTATCAACGACAACTATGCACACCTGTATGGAAACAGATTTGAAAACCTAAACGAGATGGAAGATTTTCTGTCATCACACAACCCCTCAAGGTTGAAACAAGAAGAAATAGAGACCCTAAATCAACCAATAACAACCAAGGACATTGATTTCATTATAAGAAAACTACCTACAAAGCAAAAAAAGCCCTGGTGGGCTGGACTAGACAGCTTTTCAGTGAAATTCTATAAAACATACAAGGAGGAGCTAATACCAATTCTACTGAGAGTATTCCAGACAATTGAGAAAGATGGAACTCTCTCCAAATCATTTTATGAAGCTAACATCACACTAATACCCAAACCAGGCAAAGACCCAACAAAGAAAGAGAACTATAGGACAATATCCCTGATGAACATAGATGTAAAAATCCTCAACAAGGTTCTAGAAAATCGAATCCAACAGTATATCTTAAAAATTATCCACCATGACCAAGTAGACTTCATCCCTGGGATGCAGGGATGGTTTAACATCTGTAAGATCATAAATGTAATTAAATACATCAACAGATGTAAAAACAAGAACCACATATTATATCATTAGGCACAGAATAGGCTTTTGACAAAATCTAGCAACCATTCTTGATAAAAACCCTTGGACTCCTAGGTGTAGAGGGAGCATATCTTAAAATAGTAAAAACCATCTATGGTAAACCCACAGCCAACATATTATTAAATGGACTTAAATTGGAAGCATTTCTCCTGAAAACTAGAAGAAGACAAGGCTGCCCACTTTCACTCACCCCACCTGTTCAACATAGTGTTGGAAGTCCTAGTGAAAACAATCAGACAAGAGAAGGATATCGGGGGCATCCAAATATGAAAAGAGGAAGTTAAACTATCCCTCTTTGTGGAGATATGATCCTAGACCTGGAAAATTCAAGGAAATCTTCTAAAAACCTCCTTGCACTGATAAATGACTTTGGCAGAGTCTTAGGGTATAAAATCAACGTGCAAAAGACAGTTGCATTTTTATACACCAACAACAAACAGGTAGAGAACCAAATAAAAAGTATAATGCCATTCACAATAGCCACACACAAAAAAGGAAATAACTTGGCATTTTCCTAACCAAAGAAGTGAAAGACCTTTACAACAAAAACTACAGAATAATGCACAAGGAAATTAAAGAAGACACAAACAAATGGAAAAATATTCCATGCTGATGGATTAGAAGAATCAACATTGTTAAGATGTCTATCCTACCCAAGGCAATCTACAAATTCAATGCAAGCCCATTAAATTACCATCATCATTCTTCTCAGACCTGGAAACAGCAATACAGAAATCTGTGTGGAAACAAAAATGACCATGAATAGTCAAAACAATCCTTAGAAAAAGAAACAAAGCAGGAAGTATCACACTCCCAGACTTTAAACTTTATTATAAGGCTATAATAAATAATCAAAACAGCCTGGTACTGTACAGGAACAGGTATATTGACCAATGGAACAGAATAGAAATTCTGGAAGCAAAGCCTCAATTTCTCAACCAACTCATCTTTGACAAAGCCTCTTCCAACAACCACTGGAGGGAAGAGAACATGGTGTTGGAAAAAACTGACTGACCACATGCAGAAGAATGAAACAAGACCCCTACCTATCATCATACACAAAAATCAACTCCAAACAGATCAAAGACCTAAAGATAATACCTCAAACTATAAGAACCTTAGAAAATGCAGGAGACATTCTTATGGAAATTGGAACTGGCAACGAATTCCTGATCAAAACCCAAAGTACCCATGCCATAAGAGATAAGATAGACAAGTGGGACCTCATCACACTAAAACACTTTTGCAAA